GGACATAGTTCTGCGTTCTCTAATATACTATTCATGATAATTTCTTGCATCTGACCGTTGATTTTAAATATCTCCAGGCGTTTCGCCTGCACTGTCATTGAGAGGCACCACCATTAGCACAGGTTAAAACTCATTTAAATGACAAGTGAAGGCAATCCATTATACCATTTTTATTCAACAATTTTGGCCTATATATTTGTCCAGGCTCCTAGGGCTGCATCCCTCACTTCATATGGCCTAGTTATATATTCTGACCATTATGTGTTCTGGTTTCATTAGATGTGTGTCATTTTAAGTAGATTTTGTGAAGCAAAATTACCTTCACCTTCGGTTAAAGATTCCGTTCGCAGGGCTTCTGACTTCATTTAGCCTCCTTTCATCCTGCTTGTCAATTGCTCTCAGTTATAGATGACCATAACTGCCTGGCAATATGCAATCTGGTTGCCTAGGAGCCTTCAATTCCGGTCCATGTTAACGTCATATTGGGGGATTTTAAGACCGGTGATTCCCATGCCTAAGCATCTTCTTCGCTCTAGGCTTCCAATCCGAGCCAATTATCATCTTTCTAGTCCCCACGCCATTCTCTCTCATTCTCTGAGGCCCTGGTGTCTAGCTTGATTCGGAGCTGCTGGCGTGAAAATGGACCGCTTCCCTTCTCCACTCTTGAATCATATAAAGCACACTACTCTTGCCCCTTAAGTCGATAGTCCCACTTGATCGTAAAGTTTTAGTCAGTTGTGCTTGTGCACGTTTTATAATTACCCTAATCAGACATGTCATCAGCCACTTCTCACTATGGCCACACTCACTGGGACCAATAGATCTTGTGTCCACAGCTCGGTTACCACACCCAAATGAATTTGAAACAGACTTTGATCTTTAGAATAGCACCTCTAATGGAATACAATTAGGATGTTTAGGACCTTTGATTTCTTATTCCACAGATAGACTCACACCGATCCCATTTCAAGCTGGTTCCTATTTAGAGAAGTGGGTTAGGGTCTGGTTGGGACCATAACAGAGGCCACAACATCTTGGTCTTCATATCTGGTTCCTATTTAGTTTAGTGTGATGAAGGACCGGTAGGTTTGACTTTCTGAATACAGTCGCATTTGCTTGACTTCTAATTGTCCTTCATGATCCTATTCTTGGCGTTGTCTCTTACTGTTGTGAACAGACTATCTTGGCCCAGGCGTCATCTTTTTGCTGACCTTGTTGAATCTCCAAGCATGTCTGGAGAGTACACGTAATTCTCACAGATTCTTCCTTTTTCAAATCTCCTGTTCAACAGGTTTCTTTGAATGAGAATGTCCACAGCCTCTCTGATCTTTCGTTTTCTGGTGTACTCCCTAAATAAAGCCAGTTTTTTAGTTGCATTCCAGTCAAACATGTGACCGGTCATGGCAATATATTCGGGTATCTTTCCATATCCATTTTCCCGCATAATCATTGGCGTTCTTTAAGTCTTGTTCTGATTATACTTCCTTCTCTCCGTTATATTTTTGTTTACAGTCCTTGCAGTTTATGCTGTAAACTCCGTAGCACCCCATTTTGTTGATTTATTCATTTTGTGCGTGCAAGCTGGAGAAAAGTTGTCCTTTCGTTCAAATATTCCATTTCAAAAGTAGCAGCCGCAGTTTCCGGGCCAGTTCGCATAAGGGTAGACATATCCATCGTTTTTCCGCTGTCTCATTTGTTATACCTCCATAATCCCCATTCTTTAATCTGTTCATCACGACCCGTATATTGCGTGGTAGTGTTTCTTCAGGATATCCATTTCGAAGAAACATCTAAGTTAGTTTTTCCAGTTCCTCTTCTCAGAACTCAGAATCAGTAGGTCATAGGCTCCTTACGACCATACTCCTAAGTATCACAAACTTCATGGTTAAATAGGAAAATAAGGATTTTTCCTGAATGCCTTGATTTCTTCCGGAATAGCCGTTTCTTAAGAGTCTATTCGGAGTAAATGACTTTCACATCCAAGAAATGTAAGTATCCGTAGGCAGACCAAATACTTAAACGTAAACATGAAGACCAAGATATTGTGGCCCATATGTTGGTCGCAGTCTCCTTTTGATGCAAAGTGGGCTGACCTCATAGGTTGTCCGAAGTCCCCATAGAAAAACCTTTCGGAAAAAAGTTGGTCAAGTAATTGACTTCATTTGTCTCTTTGACGAGTTGTAGCTCGGTGCTAAAATTGGAAGACTCACTGACGATGACAGAGAGACGCCTGGGAACGTACGAAGTCCACGGTCCAACGCTGGAAATCATTATAACTACTATAGCAGGGGACTTCGAAAAGGCTGTGTCTAACTAGGTCACCCTGACAACACGATCAAGTTGCGAAAACAAGATCAGATCACTTCTAGACCAAATATTTAGCTATAGGTGCAGCCGTTGAACGTGAAATAGGTAGCTCTTATTGCAAGGCTGTTTTTGGATTTGCTCCGTCTCTAGAATGTCGTCCTTTTTTTCCAAGATCTCCAGCGTTTCCGTAAGGGCTTTTTCTTTTGAGATGCTCGTGTACATCAAAGCTCCAAACTGGTGCCTTTGATTCTTTGGCAAAATTCGTATAAATTCTTAATTGTATTCGATTGTTTGTCATTCATCTTCTTTGAGGCCGATACATTTTGTCAATTTACGAGCTGATCCGTGCTTGCTGTTGCTGTACAACTAACTTAGTCCTGCGACTTCTGCCATAGTATTCATGATAATTTTTAGCATCGAACTGCTGACTTGATACATTCATAGAAGTTTCGCAGGCATCGTACTCGAATATTTGAATTTTTAATTGGATTTAATTTTTGCATGAGGTCTAGTGTAGTAGATAAATTCGCCTATCAATCCTTCATCATATCTTATTCAAGATTTGTTGATAATATCTTAAGGTAATTTTTACGAAAATAATAAAAATATAATAAAAAAAGAGGAGCGTATAGGCCATGTCCATTCTTCTCCAAAGAAGCCGAATGGAGAGGCTGGAGAAGACATCAAGAATCTAGCTCACTGTCTGAGCACAAGTGGAGAAATTCTGGATTCAGCAAATACAACTAAGAACGATAAACCAAGGATATCTATAGAATAAAAGAAGCATCACCAGGCAAAAGATCTTGAGGGAAATGAAAGTCAAGAGAACGCGATTGCAATGAGGTGAATCTAATCAAAGAAATTTAGAGAGGGTGATCCAACTGGGGTAATAAGAGCATAAACTAGCTATCATTAGTGATACGGATTTTAAAATTTAGATCAAATTTGTGTCCGCTTGAGTGTTGCAGCGGAGACTGGGGGTGCAGCCTACGTTGGTTCTTAATACAGAGGCTAAATTATGGAGTGGCAATGATATCATTTGTTTACATCCGCTAACCCATGTACATACAAAGAAGTGAGTGAAGTCTAACCTCAAGAATATGCTGAACTGAAATGGAAGAATTATATATTTTGAGAACCGTCCATTTGCTGAGGCTAGTCTACAGTTTACATGCATAATACCTCGGGAGCCAGTCATGTGAATTAAGGGAATATAGATAATAAACTAGGAAACGGTAGAAAAATTTGGAGAAGTAACCTGATGAATGTAAGACCAACTGGGATCAGAAAGCCATTCAAACAGGATGCGAAACTGGTGGTAAAAGTGATTACGCCTCATAAAGCCCACTTGAAGGGCCACACAATTTAAAGAGATTAAAACAAACCAAGATGTTGAGGGGTGCAGATAGGCTCCATGGCCATATGAAGTAGGATTAAGGCAGAACTAGGTGGCTTGGGCCAAAGCAGGGAAGATATGCCACAATTTTTATCAATTTGACCAGTATTAACTCAGTGCTAAAGATAATGTCTCAGTGAAGATGCTAGCGAAATGTCTAGGAATGCACTAAGTCAAGGTCTAGATGTTGGAGATCTTAATGACTACTATGGCAGAGAACGCAAGACTGGGTGCATTCCACAGGGTCGCTACGACTAAGTTGCGAAAATTAGGTGATAAAAAACTCAATACAGATAAAGGGAACCATCTTGGTCTTCATCTTTACGATCTAATAATAGGCTAGGTGAGAAAACTGATAGAATCCCTTTAGGATATTTGAGCATAATCACTTCGGTAGATAAAAGCGCAGAGGTACAATCGGCAATCGAGCTTGTTTATATAGCATGGAAGGAGAGCTAAAGTAGCTTACCGAGTGAACTGACCGCAATTTCTCAGCAAATCGACCATCGAAACTCCGATTGTGCCGTCCACGTTTAAGATGAGGTTCGGTCGCTAAAAATAGGGCAAAAGGAGAGTCATGAGATAATGCATGGGAAGCGTTTAAGGATAGGTGGTTTAGGCATTTAAAGTTGGCTCGCCCATGAATTGGAGAGGTGGCATGCTTTTTCTTAAGAATAAAGCAAGGTGAGATAAAACTTTGTATAAAACTACGCTTTTGATGTAGTGAAACTCTGCAACTAAATAAAATATTATACTTTCTACTATTAACGTGCAAAGCACCATCGATTGGTAATGAGTTTCCTTGATATTTTCGATACCAAAGAATGCAACCATTTAAAATGGCTTAAAATATGGTACATAAAGGGTATTTGTTTAAGAAGGATCAGTGCTGAGTAAGTCTGTAAGGCGAAATATTGATATAGACAAGCCTTTTTACTTCAAAGTAATAAAATAGTCGTGTAGAGGAAAGTATGCATAACCCATGAATACTAAAGAGCTACTTGGAAGAGCGCAAGAAATGGAATCACACCAGCGGCATCCTAACTGATATCAAAGGAAAGGTTCAGAAGATCCTCAATGTATTCCGCGACTCAGCGGTGCACTGAGAAGAGGAGCAAACCTTAGGCCCAACTACCAAGAAATATTGGCTGATCACATCATTAAATTTAGGTAACACAGTCTCCCAGGAAGAATGAGAAAAATTAATTCAATATTATCAGTATGGATAGTCCCAATCAATAGTGCTAGCAAATATCATAAGAGAACTTTCAGAAAGTAACGAGACCAATCCAAAAAACTATTTAAATGTTACCGGTCAAATGTACAATCATACTCATTCAGAAAGTTTGGATGTTCAATTATGAAGCTATAGTTGCAGATCCTTTTATAGCGACTTAATCGAGTATGTTGGCGAACACTTAGTTCCTCATTCAATTTGATGCTGTTAATGAAACGTAGTGCTCTAAAATTATCCTTTTAAGTCAAAGAATTCATTAAGAAGAGAAAAACACTCATCCTAAAACTTTTAGTCTTTGATAATGGCATATATATCTTACCTTTGCAGTAGTAATCTTCTCTACGGCAAACGCGTAGTCCATAACTGGATGGGCAGGGAAATGCTGACGAACGTAATTGGCTAGAAGTTGAACTCGGCTATCCGGATTAGTAGTAGACTTGACTCGATGCCCAATCCCCATTAAGAGGCGATGCTGAGCATGCATCTGAGCTACGTAGGCGGCAGGCTCGAGGCCAGAATCACAGGCTTCAGCGAATTGATGCGCTGCTGCGTCGATGGCCCCTCCAAAGCGATCACCCTAAGTCAATACGATAAAGGAATACACGGGTAGTATTTACAGTAGTAGAAAATTTCAAATAGCATTTTTACGACAAAATAATGACAAAAATGAGCAAATATCGAGTAACAACTCTTGCACAAATGGGGAAAGCATGCAATACTACCATATCAATTTTAGATGTAAAAACCAAGATAATGTGGCTCTTGTTTAATAGCAATCCCCACTTCGCTGTTTAGAATTGATCTGGTCCCATTTTCATAGTTTGTTCGTAGTGCCAAAATCTCATAGAACTTTCGGGCACTGCATCCTCTGACATAGTTGTCACGTGTTCCAGTATTGGGTCCACTGCTTGTTACATTCCAAGACGTTTATCTGGCCCCATGGTCAGCATTGTCAGGAGGCTTTTCAACCCTATACGATACACGAGAGGCATGAAAAGTACATTCCTTAATGATTTTTTCCTGAATAATTATGATATCTCTTGTCACAGCATAGTCCCTTGGTCGCCCTCTACTTTGTTACGACATAGTCGTACGTATTTGAGCAAGTTTAGGGAGGTATAATCATATTTCCCACTGGCTTTACTTTCCCTCTGAGCTGTAATTACTGGTTCAACTTGGGCGTTTATATCTGCAAGCTACTTCGTCTAGCCCCTACCATATTTTCACTAGTACTTTTAAAAATGCATTTTCCATCTCTGTTAAGAAAATGTCCCACCCGTAAAATATTAAATCTTACTTCTCCTAATCCATTTTTTTGAAGAATCTCTGGACATTTTTATCTTTAGAGGCAATATAATTTATCTGCCTTATCTTGCCGTATTGGTAAGTTTGTGAAGTGTTGGTTCAACCTCGTTTTCGCAACTTGGTCGGAGCGTCAGAGAAAACTTGTGGAACGTGTCTAGTCCTGTGCCTTCTGCGATAGTATTCGTGACTTACAGCATCGGACCAGTTACTTGGTCCTGATGGAAAGAGACGCTGCATAGTCCCGACGTAGACACGTTGGTTTGCAGTCACCATACGATGAAATCCCTTAGTTTCAACAGAGCAAGGATGCCAATTAAATAATACGACTTCGCCCGGAGCTAGATGCGAGTTGAGGGCGGACCTACTTAAGGAGAGCTTCAATCGACTTGTGCCAAAGCAGATGCAGAACAGTGAAGTATCAGAGTATTTAGAGGTGACGCAAGTTAAGTATGTTACACGGAGAAACAGGCGAATGACATCCAGGAGAGAAGCTAACTCATTTTACAATTTGAAGCCATCGCGGTGAGGGCCTCCAGGTCGTAGATGAAGTGGATGCGGGACTCTTCATAGGCAATTCGTGGTACCCGAGATCAGGTTAAGTGTAAGTGACTATTGCACTCAATGACGGCGCGTGATAACATGATCAGTCAACAGTCTTGATGCGAAAGATCAGTCTCATAAGTTCAATAATTGGCTCGGAACGACTGGAGAGAATTGATTGATTGATTGACGATAGGCTGAGAGATGCTTACAATTAGCTTCAGCAAAAAGAATTGTTGTAAGATGCAAATGTGTGACAAGAGACAAACGATTATAGTGCGAATGAATAAGGATAAGTCATTACACCACTATAAGAAGGACATTAATTGCCTAAAGAGCCATGTCATTCGATCAGGCAACTAAAGACCCATGTTACAATGACATGGAAATAATAATTTTTCGTTTATATGTAGGTATTTGGTATAGCAAATATCACATGGCTTTATAGAAAATTCTATTACAGAAATGTTATATGGGAAAAGTCTTGGTCTTCCTTGAAATGCATATCTGCTCTGTGAGCAAAGAACAATTGCGACAGTGTGGCGTAGTGGTTAATATTTGGAGATTATATGTTGCACTTCCATGGTCCGAGTCAAGCTGGGGATGGTGATGAGGCCTAGGCGAGTTCGAAACTGCAGTCCACTCTGAATGATAATATCTTTCTAAGAGTAAGACTATGCGAAATAAAATGAAAAGGTGAGGCACACTTATAGCATAGTGGGAAAAATTCAAATACCGGTCCCTTATCACCATAAATGAAATGGGTGAAAATATATCATACTATTAATTTTGCTTGAGATATTTACTTAAGTAAATGTAACAAAGTAGTATATACATATATATTTTATAAATAAAGTCTGTATACCACAGTAAGCAGACCAGAGGCGAGGCTGGAAACCAAATCCTTGCCGGCTCTTGCAGTGACGATGGTGTTGTGAGCTCCAGATACTGCTGGACCGTGGTCGGCAGTAATAACGAGACAAAGTTCAATAAATTTGGTGGCGTACTCAGGTAAACTACACGTGGGAATAAATGAAGTTAAAGAATTAACTGAGGAAATAAAAATAATACATAAGACCTAAATATAAGAATATCAATTTTAAAGAAAAATAGTCATTTGTGAATAATAATAATAATAATAATAACAGGGAAAGAAGTATGAAAATTCATGTTTTGATCTTTGAAATGAAAATATCCCGAAACATGACATTGGATATTAAGTGAATTAAACAAATTATAACGTTTATCTAATAAATACCTAGGCTAATAGAGGGTCATGACAGAAGGTTAAATTGCTACTTACTATTGAATTTTGGAGAAACTAGATCCAAGAAAGTCAAAGAAATAATACAGGCAAATTATTGTTGTATTTTGGAGGTTGTAGTGCAACCTAAAACCATCAGATATGAAGGAAAATCTTCGATTGCTAGCGTAAGTTCTTGACATCAAAACAAGTTAAGGCGGTTGATGAGATTAGTGCCTGCATTAAGTGCATCTTGAATTGAGGACTTGATAACCACCTGATTGTTTCCATGAGTGAACGATACCCTTCAAAATGACAGTGAATCAAACTCCTGTAATAGTTTCCACTTAGTGAGATTTGCGATTAGTTTTAGAATGTAAAAGGGATTTTCCGTTAGTACTATGGCGAAAAATAGTAAAATATAATAAAGAAATGAAAGAGACTAACATTCGCTTTTTAATTCAGATAACTCAAATTGTTTAAAAACAAATATAGTGAGGCCTTTTTAATAATAGCGGTCTCTTTTCGCTGTCGAAAAGTGGTTTGACCTCGTTTTAGCTCGTTTGACCAACCGTCTGCCTAACATTTGTGGTAGTTCTCCTGACCTGGTACATTCATCTATCCCATAACTTCAAATCGTCCTCTTCACCATAACAATGTCAAACTTACTAATTTTATTTTTCATATTTAACTAGAGTTTCGAGACTACCAGTAAATCAGTGATATGAGATGTATTCACCCAATTTAGTTTAAGGTGATGAAGGACTAGTAGTAGAATTTTTCCGCAATGATATGAGTAAGCTGACATTTCCATTAAATTTCAGATAGTTTTGTTTTCCCAAAAGTTGTTCGCATCCAGAGTGGGCTGCAGTTTCGAACTCGCATTAGTCTTATCAACACCCTCAGCGGGAGTCGAACCATGACAGTGCAGAATGGGAGCTTGACACGTTAACCACTAGGCCACACTGCCACGAATAACCTTGTGTCACAGGGCAGATGTGAATTTCAAGGAAGGCCAGGCCTTTGGCCATATCGTATTCTATGGTGAGATTGTTGATGAAGCAACCGTATATTTGCTATAACAATCGACTACGTTACTTATTTTTCGTAGTAAAGTAAAGTTTCGAGACTACCAGTAAATCAATAATATGAGAGGTATTCACCATATTTCGTTTAAAGTGATGAAGGACTGGTAGTAGAATTTTCTCACAATGATATGAGTAGAGCTGACATTTCCATTGAATTTCATATAACCCTGATTTCCCAAAAGTTGTTCTTATCCAGGATGGACTGCAGTTTCGACCACGCATCGGTCTTATCAGCACTCCCAGCAGGAGTCGAATCGTGACAGTGGAGAATGGGAGCTTGACGTATTATGGCAAAAGGCTTGGCCTTCGTTGAAATTCACATCTGCTCTGTGACCCAAGGGTATTCGTGGCCGAGTGGTTAACGTGTTAATCTCCCATTCTGCACTGTCACGGTTCGACTCCCGCTGGGGGTGCTGATAAGACCGATGCGAGGTCGAAACTGCAGTCCCCTCTGGATGAGAAAAACTTTTTGGAAAAAAAAAGATATGTGAAATTCAATGAAAACGTCAGCTCTACTCATATTATTGTGGAAAAATTCCACTACCAGTCCTTCATCAGGTTAAACGAAATTGGGTGAATACATCTGGTATTACTCATTTTAATCTAGTCAATGTGCCGTTTTTGGTGGATTTTGTGGGACATATCCGCACTCCCAGCTGATTCCTTCATTTCCCTCCACTGTGTAGTCTGCCATCCTTTTATTCAGGTCCAATAAGTCTCTATTTTTCCTCGTAAGA